AAATATTCCGGGTTTTTGCGGGAAAGCCAATATTCCTATTAAGCTGTGGCTAATGAAAATAAATATTCCACTAATATTCCTGTTTACATGCTGCTATGCATACTCCAATTTACATAACTGTTAATGATGTACTGTACTGTACCACCAGAGGCAGACTTCTTTGACCGTGCGAACACAACCGTCCTTTTTTATTCGTTAAACCACCTTCTTGAAAAGGTTGGTTTTGTAATATTTGTGCATATCCAAAACCTTGCTGATATCCATCTTTCATATTGTTTAAAAGTAGGTGTGTTTCTTGTTCTGATCAAAAATGTGGGCTTTTCTTTTGTGCATGCATCTCCACTCCACTCCACTCTATGCCTTGCAAACTGTTGGCTAGTTAGTTTGTTTACAATGCACAAAACTGCCGCAAATTGTTGGAAAACCCCTAAATGAGAGGCATATTCCGAATGTGCTGTAGTCCAAACAATGGTCCTAAAACCTGAGTAATACTGGCATATTAACATCTTAGTCAGAAAATGCTACATTCGGATTAAGGCAGAATATTGTCATATTTGGAATAATAGTGGAAAATGTGTCATAGGTTACTGGGACAGTTAAAAAAATGAAGCCGTCTTTAACAACCGTGCTTTTCCTGCTGTGATGAGTCAAAATATCTGCTGTGAAAAAGGCCTTTAGTGCTGAGTAGCTGCACGTTTTCATTAACACTTGCTGGTTGTGCAGCCCGATGGACTGTGTCTTCAAAAGATGAGCTGAGCCTTTTTTTTTCTTTTAAACTCTCGGGGCAAGTGCAGGTTGAGTCTGGAATTATTTGAGACAAGTTCAAGTCGGGTCTAAAGTCTTCAAGAGGAACACCTTGTCTAAAGTGGGCGTTTGGTGAAAGCCTACGTTAGCAGCAGCTGCATTCTTTCATTAGTGCTCAGCCACACTCAGAAGTGTTTTTACAGCACTCACGGAAAAATATGCAATTAATAATACAATAGTTAAGCACTTTGGGGAAAAAAGCCCACAGACGCACTTCACGTTGTAGTTACATGTGTATATCTTGAGCTGTTACATGCATATCTGTTGCCTCAGATTAGCATGAGACAGAAGAGTAAAAAACATATCTGAAATGCATCCATGGTAGACAGAGTGTAAGTGTCAAGTCGAGTCTAAAGTCCTTTATGACAAGTCAAAATTTGCATTAGCAAACTGCCACTCAGACCATTTTTCTTTAACACTGTGCCAGTAGTGTTTTTTAAATAAGTGACACAGTGTCTAATTTATTGTTTAACATTTCTAACTGATAAAACTTGTAACTTAAAGGGTCAGTGTGGAAGATTTAGAAGCATCCAGCGTTGTAGTTGCAGATTATAACATCCTCGCCTCACCCTTCCTTTCCAAGTGTGTAGAAGAAACTATGATGGTCATGAAACTGGTTTGTCCATTCTGGGCTACTGTAGAAAGGTGGCAGTCCATGCCCACATGGCGGACTCTGTAAAAGAGGACCCACTCCCTCTGTAGATAAAAACAGCTCATTCTAAAAAAAACAACACTTTATTTTCAGGTGGTTATACACTACTGAAAACATACCTATGATTATTATGTTCCATTACTACCAATAGATTGTCCTAAATGTTACACACCAGACCTTTAAGTCTGACTCAAGTGCAAGTCTCAAATCTGCAGGTCTGGTCTTTACAGAGGCTGGTGGCTGAATGTTTATCATACATGCTGGTTTGATAACTGAGCCTGATGGTTAGATGTTGAGCTACCTCTTTGCTGGAGCAACTTAGTGTTTTGGAGCAAAGACAAAACAATTTTCATCACAGTGACACATTAGGGTACACATGTATCTATTTAAGTGTAGTGTTTTGTAAGTTTTTGTCTCTCTTGATCGGCTGTCCTGAATCTGTCTACTGGCCCACCTTATAGTTGCTGGGAGATTTGTGACACAGCTGCAGAGCCTCTACAGAAGGTACAGACAGAAAAGCAGATATGTGCTGAGAAATGGACAGGAAGTGAGAGAGATTGGAGGCCCTCTTGGAACTGTGATGCTGTTACTTCCACACCAGCTCCTCTCCTGCCTTATCAACACGGCCGCCCAGCTCTTCTGATTGAACCGGCAGCGTCACAGTCTCTGGCTGAAATAGATTGCGTTGCTGTTTCTATTACATCCTACACCCCCTCCTCCCTGTTGTCCGACTCCCTGGCTCAGGCCCCTGCTGGTTATTTATTTGTTATGGGCTTTTCTCATTTGAGCCTGAGTAGCTCATCATTGCAGCCAAAGAGTCTGTCTGTGTGAATGGAAGCTTCTTTCACTTGCTGAGGATTTATGGACTTCTGACATGGTGCCTGTGCAAGCAAGCAGCAAACAGAGGACAAAAACTGCTTCATGCCGCCTCATCCTCCCTGAATCACATCCAAAAGAGCAATATATTCTTCCTAAAGTTTCAGCAATATGCTTCAGTCTTTAGAAGGGGAAAAAGCCCCAAACTTTCCCTCTTCTGCTCTGTATCTCCTGTTTCTTTATGTGATCGTTTGAGGGTCACAGAGACGTTTTCGTGCACTTCCCACCATGGTTATGTAGCTCTTTGACTTGAATTTCCTACTTTTGAAAAAGCCTATGTTAATCAGTATGACTGCGAACTGTCAAATTAAAAATGTAAGAAATAATGAGACTCAAGCCTATAAAGATCAAGATGTAATTAAATATTCAAGAACTGGTTGGAGTTTTATAGGTCATGTCATTTATTGAGGTAGCTGGATGGTGTGGAGTAATTGCTGAAGAGCCTGTACTGTTACTGCATGATTACAGGTTTGATTTCTTTCACAGTGAGTCGAAAACATTATATCTATTCCAGAGGTAAGGAAACATCATTCAAAATCACTTTGACATCTGTAATTACACAAATTACGAACATCCGGTCCAACAATACAGGTTGTATTGTAAGAGCTGAAAGCTCAATTAATCGTTGAAACCACTTTTTCAAGCCAAAATGCCAAAGAGTTGATGGTTCCTGCTTCTGAAATAGGAGGATTTGCTGCTTTTCCTTTGCTTTACATTACAGCAAATTCAATATCTTTGGGTTTCAGGCTGTTGGTCAGATAAAACAAGCAATTTGAAACTTGCTGGGAAATGCGATGGACATTTTTCACTATTCTATGATGTTTAACAGAGCAAACAGTTAACTGACAAAATAATCGGCAATATGTGGTGCAGTTCATTTCATATGTCCAGACAGGGATGGTAAATCTTTGAAAAACAATGCCTTACATTTAGTATTGGCGATTCTTTGATATATATAGTTTTAGTGTCCCTAATTGAACATTGTTTCAGCCTAAACTGGCCCGAGGTTAACGTCAGGTAGCTAAGTGCCAGGATATGAAAATGGACAGCATTTGTCTTTTTAAACAGCACAGATGTTTCTGTAAAACAGCAGAGATTACAGCCAACGTTGGAAAGCTGACATTAAGAGGAAAGGGAGTGCAGGTGTATGTCATGGATAAAGTAAAAACTAACAGTTACAATGAGAGGTATGATGTGTGCTGCAAGAACATACAAAATCCATATATTTATATTTTTCCTGTATCATTTTTCATTACCATTATCTTTGACAAGGTAACTGTTAATTTATGGAGCAATTACAGGTGTAATGAAGTAGCTGAATATCCGTATGTGTTCTCACATGTGTAATTTTATTTTATAGCGTCTGTGCTTTTGTGCCCCTGAGGAAGATCTGCCAATAGGTCCTCTTAATGTTACACACTGGACCTTTAAAATTAAGAATGGTTTGAATTCTAATATCAGGTTCTGCAGTAGATACTCATCCATCTCAGGATATGAACAGCAACTGCAGGGAACACGTGTTTGCCACACGAGTCATAGCAGTGAGTTAGCAGTTAGCCTGGAAGTTGATATGAGGACTACACCTTCAAAGTCTGTGTTAGCTGCACAGGGAAATGACTTTTGTCGTGTTCTCTCAATTGGGAATGGAAATTATAAATGTAAATGAATGGTCACATAGAGAGAGACACAGAGATGCTACCTGGCTTGTGCTTTGAATTTTTTCAGCGTGGTGGAAAACATTGAGGGAATATTTGTGTGTGTTGACAAGCTAAATAAAAGATGAGGAAAGGCCGTGTGGGAGCCGTGTTGTTTAGACTCAGGTTCTCTACTTAATTTTCGGAGTTCATTAGAGCCAATGCTGTATTTATTTCAAGTCATTAAATCTTTCACATTCATGGCCGCTGTGTTGAGCACATCGAGATGTATGGCTGGACATAAAGGGACGAGAAGATCCAGCCCGTCTGAAGCATGTTTATCGCGGTTTAGTTAATGTGTATGCTGTGGTATTCAGTAATATCGAACACTTCCATCTAACTACACAGGACTTTAAGTCATTGGACCCATTAGGTGGAGCTGCCCGGGAAATTATGCATCACGTCATGTAACGCTCAAACTAATGAAGTGTATAAATCAAAAAAAATCGATTAGCAATGCTTTCTACATTTCACTAAGAAATTGGTTTGACTAGTTTGTTAAGTGTTAGTGAGCTAATGAAAGTGATATTTCACCCTGGAAGAACATTTACACAAATTAGCATGCATACCATCACACGATGGTCAGCCTCCAGCAGGAGTCGCTTCCTGCTTTTATTGGTCAGGACTCATTTTCTCAGTGACTATTCAACATCAGTCATTATCAGAAATTGCAAGGAGAATGTTGCAACCACAGATGGAGGAAAATGATAGAGTTGATTTGAAATGTTCTCCACTGTCATTTTTACATTAGCTGTTTGAAATGGGTACCATCGCCATGGAAACACAGGTCGGATGATTGAACTGATTCGGTGCAGGCATGCGGGCTGGAAATGGGAGACTGTTCTACCAGAGTGAAACATTTTTTTGTTTTTTGTTAGTGGTCAGTCTGGTTAGAAGTGTACGATGAGGCGTTCAGGGCCCAGCAGTGCAATCCCCCTGCAGATTCACTGAGGACAGACATCCCTCCCCCTTACCCTCCATCTCCACACTGATTGGCTCCGAGTCAGGTGACCCTTGTTCCCCCACGGGGGGAGGGCCATCAGGACCTGTACCTCTTTCAGTGTCACCTGCCTCCTTTGGGAATGCCGCCCCATGATAGGTTGTGCTGGCGCTTGTGGGTGTGGTCTTCCCTGTGGTTGTAACGAAGGGGGGGAGGAGGAGGAGGAGGAGGGGGGGCAACAGAGTGAGTGATTAGTGAAATGTGAATCAGCCGGGACAATCAACTTCAGAGAAATGAGGGTGAGTCCTGAGTGGAAAGAAAAGCGTCACCCGTTAACATAAAGACCCAGTGATGATAGTGAGCAACATGATGAGCACACAGAGCAGAATTAAATTAAATCAGTTCACTTCCCCACAGATACACAGTGCCCTGTACTTTACAGGCTGCTTAAATACCCACATTCAGTCTCTCCGGGTGAATTTGACATATCCACCATTCTCTGGAATATTTCTTGCTGTGCTGCTATTATCACACTCAAAAACAACTCATCCTTTAAAAATATATCTCACAGCACATTTCGTGACTCTTTAAACGTCATAACACAGCTATCTGGCAGTTTGTCAGAGGACACTCAGCTTAGCAAAAGTTGACACTAAAGTAATAAAGTACGTTAACATTTGTAAATGGCTTTTGAATGTTTTCAAACTGCAGCAAAGGTTTTGGGCACCTTAATAATGTTTAACTCAGGGGTCAATATACCAGCATGATTTGACAGAATGACTGACTTTCAGGCTTTTGTTACTGAACCATTCAGGAATCCTTTAATCCTGGTTCTCCAGTTTATTTTACAGAAAAATCCCCTCCCACTTTTATTTTTTTTTTACGTGGCCTTGAACTCCTCTGTGTCCAGCCTGCTAAGTGTTTTCACAGATAAGTTGAAATAGATACTGGTGGCTGCCTAGGTAATGATTTTGTTTCACCACAGCTCTTTTCCACTACCTCACCCGAGCTGAGCTGTTTCACAGGAAACTCCGTCACCTTGAGGCAGACTAGCAAACATTATGATGGCCACATTTGGAATCATTTCAAACATATGCCAAGAAACACGCTGGGCATTAGCTGCCACAGGCCTTGTATTATCAAACGTATTTATCTTGATGACACACTCCACATCTTGATTGCATTATTAGCTCTCTGTTGTCCTTGAGGTCCGACGAGCAGCATGCTGCTATTGGCTTGGGCTCCTGCACTAATAAGCCAGCCATAATGTTAGCATTATGCAGAACTCACACCCAGACTGGAGGAAAAGGGCTTGTTCTCTCTCTCACTGTGAGCCAGTTGACAGCGTTCACTCTGAATGAGGTGCCCCGTCAGTTCGCCATCTGCGCCGGGCAAATTAAAACTGTACACCAGGGGGTGTTTGGCCCCGGCGCCTTGGACAATAGCACCAGGACTTCATCATTACTTCAATTTATAACAATTGTGTTATTCTGAGTGTGCACGTAGGATCGTGTTGTTTGTCACCTTTTACTGTTGATAAAGTACAAAAAAAATGCACATTATACAACAGAGGAACATTTGATTACCTACACAGGCAGTTGTTTGTTTCACGGCCCTCCCTCTGCTGGCTGCGATTGTTTGGGTGACAGGGAAGTGGAAGAAAGAAATCGTCCCTGCCTTTGGTGTGCTTTCGAACGGAGAACGGAGTCCCTGTGTGACAACAGCTTTGTTCGGCATATGGGGTGTTTTATTGTCTAGGAAAGCTGATAATTGATCTTCAGTGCAGAGACTTAAAAGGGTTTTTGTGTGGAAAAAAAAAAAATATAAACACCAAAAAAACAACAGAGACAGAATCTGACTGCGTGTTGAGAACTTCAAACAGTGCAGAGAAGCATCGGGGTGGTGGGAGCCCCGTAGGATTAAGCAGGAGGGTTGCTCATCAAGTCTTGCTACCGACTGAGTGGTAATTCCTCCAGCAGGGAGGATTCACGGACTACTGAGGCACTGTGGGACTGTGGAGGTCCGGGCCCAAGCCTCTGGCAGACAAAGTGGCCTCTGTTCTGAGAGGATGGATGTTTCTGCTGAGCCGTAATGGCCGACATCTTCCAGCATGATGGGCTCAGTGATGATACTAATCACTGTGTTGGATCAACCACTGCCATTAGCTCCCCCGTGTCCCAATTTGTGCAGTGACAAAGGGATCTGACTTGGAGCAAGTCTTAAAAACTCCTCATGAAGTTGAGGCGGGTGCTTTAGTTGTGTAGATAAAAGCGATAGAGCCTGGCCAACAGCTATCGGATTGAAAATGACTGGTTTTGAATGTTGCAGTGTTAGAAAATTGTCTCAACACCACCTCCTCAATCTTATCTGAGAGCTAGCCAGCTTGGCGGCATTTCTATTTCTATTCCGGCCATGCCAGGGGCTGCGCGGTGTGGCCAGCGGGGGAGTAATGGGACGTGACAGGGATGATGATCCTTCTTGATACAGGGCATTAGGCAGCCTAGCCAGCGGAGCTCCTGGTCCATCAAAGGAGTGATGCTTTAGACAATGGCTTCAATGTTTAAGCTGTCAGACTGGCTGAGAAGGAGAGGTGGCCATTCAGCTGACTCTATAAAATATTCTGTAACCTCCTAAGTTGTAAAGTGCAGAAACATTTACTTTGTGGGCATATAACTGAGTGAGGAGGTTGAGGTTCAATATGTTGTTCAGGACATTTAAAGAACTATTCAATTTTTTTTTTAAACATTATGGTTCTTATTTTCATTTATTTAGAGAGAGGGGACGACATGCAGCACAAAGGGCCACAGGTGGAGTCGAACCCATGGCCTCTGCAGTGAGGACCCAGCCCCGGTACATGGGGCTCACACAGCTCCACCAGGTGGGCTACCAGGGCTCCTCAGGGTCTTATGTTTATAGTTTGGGCCATCACTTTTAGTGGAACGTTTTACTCACCAACATAAGAACAGAATCAAGGAATACAAGTAATCAGACAGGTTGTAAGCAAACTCCAATTTTATCAAACGTATCCTCTGTAAACAACCAGTTCAACTGAGATTTTGCAGGCGGACCTTCTGGTTAAACAGACCTACTGTACCGTGTGCATTCCCATTTCATGGGACTGCAACACACAGCATTTTGTGTGCGCTCACTTACATTTTCACCATCAAATAAGTGCCTTTAGATAAACTTTGGGTTTGTTTACAATCTGTACTATGATCTGACCACTCGTGTGCTTTGTTATAGTGATGACAAAGCATCCCATGATCTCAACAATTTAACTGTTTGGGTAAATTGTCAACATTACCAATAGGAATGATATCCCAAACTACAAAAATAAGACTCAGATTGCAAAAAAAAAAATCAACAACAACAGTAGAGTCTCCTCTACTCATTCACTGTGAATCATGGCTGTGAACGGACACAAACCAGCTGTTGCAAGAATTAAACTACAACCTTTTTTGTTACAATATATTTAGTCTTTAGTCTGTTAATGCTGATTGGTGACCAGCTTAAACAGCTCAGGCTATTAAATAAAAAGATAAGACAAGTCCACTGACCATACGCTGAATCTAGCGCCGTGTTTTGCTTGCGAGTTGTTGCCAGGACATCTGGAGAAAGAAAGAAATGCACAATGACATCAGTATGTGTGCTTATGATTCCTGGTGTCTGGGCTACAATTCTTTCAGACTAGTATTGTTGAATTTGTCCTGTTTGTGCTTCTGATCACATCCCAGACACACGCAAAGGAGCTTTAACAATCCACTTTGTCTTGTATAAAAACACTTCTATGAGCAAATGCTTAATTAAGATGGAAAGATTGAGAACAGTATTCCGGCAGGGATTGTGAACAGGGACAAAATACTCTTCAAGCTCCTTCAATATGAACTGAATTGCTGCCCTCGTTGAAATAAATACATCGTAATGCTCCATTATATTTCGTTAGATCTGCAGTCACTTGTGCCGGCTGTCGCTCTCTGCCATCAAGACCTGATAACAGTCAATAGGTGGTTTTTCTCTCTTTCTTTATTGCTTATGTAAATCACTGAAATAAATGAATGTTTTCATCTCACCGTGGCAGGTATCCGGGTGCTGATGGTAACCGTTCTCCACATCCTGTTCAAACCCGCCTCTGAAGAGTAACACACACACACACACACACACACAATCACACACACACACACACACAACACACACAACACACACACCACACACACACACACACACACACACACACACACACACACACCAGCAAAGACAAAGAGACACATCAGTAAATTTGCATCAATACATTTCCCTGACTGTCCATTTCTAACAAAGCACCTCGTTGAGTCTTTCCAAAATTGGTTTTGTTGATGAGGAGTGCTTGGAGATGTGGAGGTAAGTGCACCGTAACAAAATTTAATTTGTTTTGTGTCTGGCTGAGGTCAGAGTGTCTGAGGCTCGCATTTGTTGTTGGGACACAGTGGTGGCCGGACCTGAAGGGAAAATCCACCCTTGGGTTTTCTTACAAGGTTGTATATCATCAATTTTGTGGTGTTCAGCAGATTCTAGGAGTTAGTTTGTGATGAAAAATTGTAATTTACTTTTGTGTGTCCTCACTTTCCCTCAGCCTGCCTTCTCTGCTTGTACTTCAGTTAGTCATTTCCTACAGGTTTCAGATGCGGGCCCCTGTCTCCAAACATAGCACTTTATGTAGCTGCACTGTATTTTAGTCTACTGACGCTACTGCTGGTGAAATTGGTACCTCTACACTGAATGTGTCGCTGTATTATTTTTGAATGTCAGTCTAGAAGGAAGTGTGTTGATTCAGAGCGACTGACACCAAAACCTGTCATTTACCACTGAGATTTTCATGGAAACACTTTTTGCTGTTGAACCCCTCGCCTTGCTAATGGCATGGGAACTATATCCAAAAATCATTTATATTTTGGCCAGCTTTCTGCAGGAGTAAGAAAAATACGATTAAAAAATGAACCTAGAGAACCTAGAGAGTTATCTTCAAAATAAGTGTTTTTGAGTGGATTTTCAAAAGGAAAAAGAAGGACAAGGTGTGCTTATTCAAGAAATACAAGGCCTTGTTGAAAACTGAACTTTTTACAACCTGTTCTTATAATCTCATGCAAATGGTTAAACATTTAATCAAAAGTCTATTGGTAGATTGATTTTATGTACAGTGTGGATGACTTGCCCTTTTTACCACATCTGTGTTAATATATTGTACTCATTAAATCTAAATTAATTAACTTGAGAACTGAAGCATATTTGAGCATAAAGGGAAAACAAAAGCTCAATCATGTCAAATAAATCCTTCAAAAATGTTTTTACAGTGAAATTTCTGCCACTCTGAACTTGCTGCTGTGCAATCCAAATCCTCTGAATTCAACTTTTGAACCACTCTTCCAAAATGACAAGAAGCCCAATCTGACAATTATTGATTTTCTGCTGCTCTGATGAAAATGTGCCTACGATTGATACGCTGTTCTCCCTCCAATAGACGCGCCATCTTTCACCTTGGAGTCAATCAGAAGTCAAAAGTCTCATCCAGGCGCGCCTGTTCGACGGTTGAGAAATGAGATTGAGCCGATGCACGGTGGAGCGGATGCGCTTCAAGCCGAGCGGGGCTTCAAATCGACGCCAACAATCTTCCCACACGTTGTAATGAACCAAATAAAACAGACATGGGCTCATGTAGTGCACAAGCACAAGGGTAATGATCCAGTACTCACACAGAGACACTTTGTACAAGTATGCATGTACGCCTACTCTATAACAAACCAATTAGTTCCTTATATAACCTAAGAACAAACCTACAGCTCACACAGATTAGATGCAAACAGTCTTCCAGCACCCATCTATAATTAGCACAAAAACTCTCTCACACACACACACATCCTACACAGACACAAGACAAACACACGAACTTGTACATACATTTTTAGATTCATTCTCTCCAGTCGAAACAAACATACATCTCAGCTCCTGAGAGCAACAACAGATTCTATTCTATTCTATTCTATCTAAATTGGAGGCAGAAGCCAGTGAACAGCCAAAGAGCGAGCACACTTAACTCAGCTGGAAGGAGAAAAACCGGCTCAAAGAATTAATCACCTCAATTTCTTCAGTGTGTGTTAAAGCAGCAACTCTGCCGTCAACTGTCAGGTTTAGGGATGTGTGTTTGTAAGACCTGCTGCGAGGAGGCTGCTTAACGCACAGATACACACCTGGTGCACTAACTTACGCCCTCTCGCACTCACTAAAAAGCCCGGCTCTCTTATACTAAATTCCTTTAGGGAGGAATTCGGTGTGAGACAGGAGGTGATTATCAAATCAAAGAATGCCAGGCTGAGGCTCAGTGTTCGTGTGAAGAATGAAAATAACTCTTAAGAGGATGTATGCTAGAGGGCAGTCTGTTTCCTGTCACACCTGAAACACACCAAATGATGTGATCATATCAAAAGAACATTTTATTTTCTTGGGTATGAATCATAATGAAAAGTTTATATTTGAGTTGTTTGAAGCAGTGCAGTGATCCCTTAAAACAAAGCTTCATCTGCTTGACAAGTTCTACCAAAGTGTGATTATTTCCTGTGCTGTACAGAAGAATAAATAAG